ATATATATATATATATATATATACACACACACACACATTGTAACACCCCGTTTTCATAAAATATAATATAGATATTTTATTAATAATTTTGGTATTTCTATTTTTATAAATGAGAGCTGATTAATATTTATTTTATTATTATTTACTATATTGTGATAATTAAATATGTTGATTTTAGTAACTATTTACAATTATTTTTATATGAATATATTGTGAGGTTTTCTAATTAAAGATTATATTATTTAATTATTTATTAAATGAGAGAAGGGATTTTTGAGATAACTATGGTTGACATTTTTTAAGGGGGGGGGGGGGGGGGAGGGCGGGGGTTAAATTTTAAAAAGAAATAGGGAGCTGACCAGTTTTTACATTATTACATTTTTTCACGTACGCGTTTACACTTCAGAGTTCGAAGAATTAGAAGGTGGAGGAAACTAAACCAGAGTTGATCGTCAACCTTTTTTTGCTCAACAAGATAAGGGGGAGTGAAAAACCTCGCTCTGGGTGTGGGAATGTATGTTGGGTAGTGGGATTAACCTCGATCCTGTCTCTATTGTATGCCTATGTGTGAGTGATTTTCTCCCAAATGTGTCCTTTTGTCTTTATGTCTTTTCAGATGTTCTAATTGGTGTAATTAATATGTTTGTATGAGTAGTGTTCGTGTTTGGCTTGTAATTGTAGATTTTGGTGTTCCAATGGGAAACGCTAAGGGAATACATTGGTATTTGTAAGAGAGAATGGTCTGAAGATGTAATTGTTTAAGTAAATTGTCGAATGCGAAAATCGCAGATCTGTAGAGTTTTGATCGCAGAAACCATGCTAAGTGCTAGTTCTGGCACTAGTTAGCAGACTAGAACGAGGCGTTCCCAGATTGGAACGGACCGTTCCAAACTACTAAAACAAGGGTGATTTAGTAGCCTAGAACGGGTCATTTCCAAACTAGAACGGGTCGTTCCAAACTACTAAATAGGCCTATGAATCTTGGACCGGAACGGGACGTTCCAAAATGGTCATTATGAGTTAAATTCAGCTCCAGAACGGGCCGTTCTGATTTTAGAATGGGCCGTTCTAGACGTGCCAGAACGGGTCGTTCCGATTTCAGAATGGACCGTTCTGGATGTGAATTTTGATAGAAAAGAATGGCTCAATCCAAGAGGGGGGTGAATTGGACTATGGTAATTTAAAAATTTTCAGAGTTCTTAGGATCTTTATTTCAATTCAAACTTTTCTAATATGAATTTTCAAAGAAGTTCCTTAAATGACTTGCTAATGAAAATGAGTCCTATATGCTTTCTTGATTAATCTTTGATAAAATTCAAAGTTAAGAACAATCAATATGCAACACTTGATTCATTTTAAAGCAATATTGTGCATACAAACATATTAATCAAGATTATTCTTTTTAACACAACCAAGATATTACTCAAAGTAAAAGATAAGGATAAAAGAAGATTGCACAAGTCTTTTATCTTGGTTCAACCGCTCTACATGTGACCTACATCCAGTCCTCAATCATAACCTGATCAAGATTTGTTCCACTATCTTAATGAAGAAGTTTTACAAGCATACAACACATGCATACACTCCTACATTCAAGATAACCACTTTCTTGACCCCAAGAAAGCACCTCTTGTAGAAACCCACTACAAGAATTCCTTACCACTTGAGACACCTACTCAAGATTTACAATTATTCACAAAGAATTAAGGAACGAATTCACCTAGAAGCTGAACAGATCAGACTGTGAATTTAGAAGAAAATCTCAATCTTTCTCTTTTTAAGAATGTGATGATGATGATCTTTTTCAAAGCATTTCACAAAATGTTTTACTTCTTGGTTTCACAAAGAAAACTCTCCCAGAAGGTCACAAAGACTTCACAATAACATTTTTCTCTTTTTGAATGTTAACTCATTCTCTGTTCATTCTTTTTTTTGAAGTTTCAAAGTGTGAAAACTATTTATAACATTTTCAGAACCAGATAATCGATTATTTTAAAGGATAATAGATTATTTTGTTCTTCATGATTTTTGGAAATCAACCAAGAACAAATTAATCGATTATTTTGCAGGATAATCGATTATTCTAAAGAGTGATTCCTGGGATAATCGATTATTTCACAAATAATCGATTATTACAGCAAGGCATCCTTTTCACCTGTTGTTGGAATAATCGATTATATTTAATGATAATCGATTATTTTGAGTCAGTTTTCAAAAACTCTGTTTTATATCTCAAAATAACTTTTCAAGTTTCTAACTCATCATCATACTCAATCTTAGTCAGATTAGATAAAGATTAACTCATGCACAAAGCACACACATGCAAAATGAACTAAACACAACAATACAACTTATGAGCTACTCCTATTACACATCATAATAGCAATATTTTCTTCTTGACTTTGTTTTTGACTTGTTGATGTCCTTGGTCAGCTTTAGATTCTCATAATCCACATTTTGCTATCATCAAAACCTTCATTCTCTAGGTTTGGATTGATTCACCACTTCATGAATCTCAATAATCTCCCCTTTTTTGATGATGACAAACCATACAAGCCATTTTGTTTTGCAAACCAGTATTTTCACATTTTAAGTCCTGCAAAACAAACTCAAAAACCTTTCTCCCCCTTTGAAAATCATCAAAAACAACTAGATAAACTCATTTGTCCAGATTTCACATGTATTGAATTATGCACAAGAATCATTTGCTCAAAAATTTAATGCCACAAAACCATATTCATCATTGTT